GACCTCACCTTCTGAGCATTTCTCTGAGTCTGATACGGTCTTCTTGTCTCTGTCCCTTCCCCTGCTCCTTCCTTTGCCTTTCAAACCTGTGTATCCACTGGTTTCACCACGTGTGAACCCGTGGTTCCTAACAAATGTCCAGTGGCCTGTAGTGATGACATTCGGGAACACAAGTCAAGTTCTGAATAACGTGGGCCACCTTTACAGTTGATACCTGAAGTGGAGGTTGGCAGGTTTCCTTGAGGACAAGATTAGAAGTAAGAAATGTACCCACATTTCAGGAATAGCTGACAGTAACCGGAGGAAGTGTGGTCTGGAGAGGGCCTCCTTCACCTGTTCCTGCCTCCTTGCTTCTTGCCAGGTGGAAGGTGCTATTCTCCAGTCTTTCCACCAGGGGGCGCCAGCCACCATCTGCTTGGTTTTGGGTGGAGGTTGGCCTGACAGAGATGAACTAGACTATTCTTTCAGCCAACTCCTTTACTGGGATAAAATGAGAAAGTCGTCTGATACTAACTTACAGTACATGTAGGAGAAAAGAAAATAGATTAGGGAATGAGGGAGGACGAGACTGAATTTTTTATACTTCCATTTCCTTCTGCTGGCTAGGATCCTACTCTCATGGGTGTGTTATTTCTCTTCACTCCCCCAAATCGCATGATTCAGATCATATTTGTTGTGGCTTCTGACAAGTTGGAAGTCTTCTCCCTCCTTTGTGTTGTTCATTGTGCATTGGTGTTTGCTGGTTGAATTGCAGTATAAGCACCCTGTGTTGGATGCAGAGGGTGCTCATTGTGACTTTTAATATTTATAGAAATATAAATCTTGAAGAATTTTGAAGAAATTCTCTTCAAAACAAATTTGTTGATTGAATGTGTGACAGAACTTTCTGGTGCCCTCTGGTGGCTGCTGTAGCTCCCTGCTGGCAACTGTACAACAGAGGAAGGTTTTATTCACAGAGAAAAAAGAGGTCAATTTTTCGTTAACAAGAGTGGGCTATCTCAGTTCCTGAGGAGTATTCCTCAGAGACCAAAACCCGAACGATTCAATACTTACTTGACTGGCTCTTCCAACATCTCTTTTTCTCAGTTTTTGTTGCCCTAGGCCTACACTTTTTAATTTCTCCTTGTCTTTCTCATTTGGCAATCCTTTCCCAGTTGACGGTCTTTTTCTCATAAGTAAAAGTTATTTTTATACCTCTGATAATTGTCTGTCTTGTTTGATGGATTCCATACCTTGTATAAATGGTCAGTGGGGCTGGAAAGGATCTTACATTGAGACTAAAGTGCTTGAGTGGTGTGTGTGACTGTGTATGTGGGGTGTGTGTGTGTGTGGCATGTGTGACTGTGTGTGGGAGGTGTTTATGTGGGGGATGTATGTGTGACTGTATATGTGTGTTGGGTGTGTGTATGTGTTTGTGGGGTGTGTGTGTGACTCTGTGTCTGTGACTCTGTGTGTGAGTGTGAATGAGCATGCGCCTGTGCTGCCAGCCCTGACTTTCCCACAAATCCTTCCTCACAAAACTGTGACAGTTTCACACACTGAGATGTCGGAAGACTGTGGTTTCCCCTGCTGAGCTGAAGAGCTCTATTCAGGGCTGTCTTGGGTAGAGTATGAATACTCTAGCTGACAGTATCAAATCCCAGATTTCTCACATTCTTTACAAAGCAGAGAGGTTTTTGGATGCTGTATTGTTTATCTGCATGAAAATATCTCCCGAGGAGCAGTCGCTTTCCTGCCTTCCGAATAATCTTGAGGGGAGTGGGAATCCGGGTTCACCTTTCTCTTTTGCGGTCAGTAACATCACCCCCTCAGGCTCTCCCCCGCTCCCTCCTTTCTCCCTCTCCCCCACACTGTTTCCCTTTGCAGGTTTGAAAACCCTCTTGGAAGCTGACTCATGTTGCTTCCTTTTTTGGTCATACTTGAGCTTTCCTCCAGTTCACCACTCAGAGGCTCGGGCTGTGTGCAGCAAGTTAGTTCCCTGCGTGATGCTGTCTGAAACGAGCCTGTTTGCCTGTCAAGTTCTAAGAGAATAAGTCGTTCCCTGAGAGCCTTGCCCCTCCTGAAGCCACTCACTGGATGTTTTTGAATGAGTGGATTTAATTAAAGTGTGGATGCCAAAGATAAAACAATTCCAAATATCTTATTTGAGGGAAAAAAAATCTCAACATCTAAAGGGCAAAAAGAAAACCTCCAGCATAAGGACACTTGAATATCTCTGAGAGTGAGGGCATTTCTTTAAATTTGGCCCTTGATGGTGCTGGCGAGGGAGAGTGAATTCTGGGAACATCTGAGGCCACTTTTTACCAAACAGATGTACCAGGAGCCTTGGAATGAGGCTGAAGAATGTGGCCACACAATCTCCGTGTATCCATTCCTGGCACCCACCAGCCTGGGAAATGTGTCTACCAGCTGTCATTACTTGAGGCTCACAGAGTGTCTTAAATAAAGGGATTATTGAACCAAGAGGCCAGTGACTAATGAAAATGCCCATCATGTTGGCTAATCCCAGTGCAGGGTCACATTTCTTATCATACCGTCCACTGATATCGCCGAAACGGACTCAGCCTGTCCCCTGCCGGTACACTGCAGTTACTGGGGTACAAGCCATTTCTCCTACAGGTGGCTCCTGCAGGCAGCTTTTAGCATGACTCCCTCCCTGAGGATGCTGAATTTTCTTCGGAATCCTACCAAAGGGCCCCAGATTTGCTACAGGAAATGGGAGGGGTAGTGGTGAAAAACTTTGGAAGGTTGTCAGGAGACATAAATGGGAAGGGCTTGGGTCCTGTGCCTTTTGCTGAACCAAGTGTTGTGGCTGGGAGGATATGGCGGATGGTGGTGGGATGTGCTGTCTAGTCAGGCCTGAGTCACTTTCCCACCCCTGCGTCGGGAGCCAGGCTATCCAAACAACCACCCTGGGTGGGGGTGGGGGGGTGCTCCTCAAAGAAACTATGAATGACGTTAGGCAGACAAGAATAGGAAGTACCTCTTACAGCTATAATTCGGCTGTTGTGAGTTAGCTGCTGGTGATGCTGTGTACTCTTCAGTTTTGCTGAGGTAATTCAGAATATTTTGGATGAAAGGAAATAGTAAATGATATTCAGCCCATAAATACTGTTTTGAGGAGGAAATATTGAACTTGCTATTGATCAAAAAGCTTTTTGTCTCTAGTTTGGAGGTTAGAGACTCATTTCCTGTATAGAGAGTGAGGGTCTGTGGTGTGACTGAAAACAGAATGATTTAAGGGACTTGAGTGAGCATCCTGCATCGCTTCCCCGGGAGGGCACCCCAGAGGGTCTGACTCTGTGGGGCTGGGGTGGGGCTCACGGATGTGCATGTCTAATTTCCAGGTGCTGCTGCTGCTGCTGGTCCAGGGACCACACATATGTATTACTGATTTAAGGCAAAGGACTTAAACACTTCATTTACCAAAAAAGAAAGAAAGAAAGGAAGGGAGGGCGGGAAGGAAGGAAGTCAGCCAGTGTTTCCGTAAATACGTTACAAGATGTTCAGACTTCGTTAATAATCAAATATGTTCAAGTAAAACCAGCAATGTCATATCGTTTCCACCTATTTACCAAAGTTTTAGAAGACTGACTGAACTCAGTGTCGATTAAGGTTGAGGGAGAAGGCTGTCTCAGACACTGTCGTTTAACAATGTAATTTAGTACAGCCTTCCTGGAGGACGGTTGACTGTGTCTCCAAATATAAAATGTGTTTGCTTTGACACTACAATCCCACTTCTAGAGTTTTAACTCTAACAAAGAGTCGTATATGTGTGAAAAGATACATGCATATTGTTCATCACCATTTCATTTATAATGAGGAACAATGAACCCCCTGAATATCCCTCCATGGGGAGCAAATTATGTAAATTGTGTAGACACACAAAGGCTTGTTATGCAGGTAAGAGAAGAGATCAGAACGCCAGGGCTCTGCAGGGTCCGGAAGGGTCTTGGTTGCACGTCCTGGTTCCCACCTCCTTCCCTGAGGAGCAGAGCTGTGATGCAAACAGATGTAGGGGGCAATATGCATATTTAAATCCTATTTGTTTAAAGGTATCTGTTTGTCTGTCTATTGAGGTGGAAGAGGGAGAATCCCCCTCTGCCCTCTTCCTTAAGGTTCTTATGGCTGGCCAAATAATTAACAAGACAGGTTAGCAGGAGAAAATAATACCAAGTTTAATAACATGTATACATGGGAGACACCAGGGACCCTGCGTTTCTCAACACAATAGCAGAAATTCTCGTCTTAAATACCATTGTCAGCTAAAGACAAAGGATGTTGGGGGTGGGGGGTGTTAGTTACAGGAGATTACCACTAAAGCACTGTAAACAAGAGTAAGGTTATTATGCAGAATTAAGGCCTCACCTTCCACATTGATAAGTTTCTAGAAATGAGGTCATCCCCCCTCTTCCCAATACAGAGAGGGAGATACTTTTACAAATGGAGATTTCCCTTATAAATGTAAATGTTTGTCTGGCAACTCCTCGCAGGGCCATCCAGAGAATGTGGCCAGAGAGACAGAACTTCCGATAAGATGGGCTTGTTGGTGCCTTTTCTGTTGTAACATCTATTTTACATTATATTACAGCCATCAGATAGAAGATGTGTTCCAGGAAGGAGTTACTATGTAAAATTCTTTAGGCACTTAGTGGGGGAGGTCAAATGTCTGTCAGAGAAAATAATCAAGGTAAAGAGATAGATTTCAGGGTGGCCAAATCTTGATCTCCCACACTATCCATGCTCCTAAGTACGGGCTTCTGTGTATGTAAGAAGGGGATTTGGAAGGTTCAGTCGCCCATTACTGAGCAGACAGGCAGGGTGCTTTGTGTTCATGGAGCATGCTTCTAGTTGGGGAAAACAGATAATAAGTAGAAAAATATAAATAATTTGATTCCGGATGTAAAAAGTGCATTGAAAAAGATAAAAACAGGGTAAATATATAATATATATAATGCTCACCAACATTTTAGCAGTGGCTATTGATCAGAAGCACGACTATGGGTAAGTTTTTCTTTCTTCTTGGCACTTTTTTCTGTCATCAAAAAGTCCCTTTTTCAGAGACCGTGATCCTGAACGTGGCCCTGGATAACCTGGGCCTCTCTTGCCTTGCCAGTGTGGGGAGAGAGGGAGAATCCCCCTCTGCCCTTTTCCCTTAAGGTTCTTATGGCTGGCCAAATAATCAACAAGACAGGTTAGCAGGAGAAAATAATACCAAGTTTAATAACATGTATACATGGGAGAAACTCAGAAATGAGCAACTCGTCCCTCTGTCTAAGCTGCTTGCTTAAGTATTGCAGCTAAAGGCGAGGAAGGTGTTGGGGGTGGGTAGTGGTCTGGGACTTCAGAGGGCAAGAAGACAATTCTTTTCAGGGTCATCTATAGATAATGTGGTCAGGGAGAGAGAGAGAGTTTTTTTGATAAAAGGGGCTTGGTGCCCCTCCCATTTATTTATTTATTTATTTATTTAATTTTTTTCCCCAAAGCCCCAGTAGATAGTTGTATGTCATAGCTGCACATCCTTCTAGTTGCCGTATGTGGGACGCAGCCTCAGCATGGCCAGACAAGTGGTGCGTCAGTGCGCGCCTGGGATCCGAACCCCTGCTGCCAGCAGCAGAGCGTGCGCACTTAACCGATAAGCCAGGGGCCGGCCCATCCCATTGTAACATCTATTTTACATTATCGTTACAGCCATCATGATAGAAGATCTGTTCCAGGAAGGAGCCACCATGTCAAATTCTTTAGGCAGTTAGTGGGGGAGGTCAAATGTCCCTCAGAGAAAACAATCAAGGTAAAGAGATATATTTCAGGGTGGCCAAATCTTGATCTCCCACACCAGCCTCATGGAGACTTCTCCCCTCACTCACTTCCCTGTGGCCACACCTGCCCCGAAGCAGAGGCTCCTGTTCCCTCTGCGGACGGACGCTGTTACCCCACGCTTCCCAGGCGCATCCCTCAGGCCTCTGCGTCACTTCCTCAGAGCGGCCTCTGGTTTATCTCCACTGGTCCCCCCACGCCATCCCCTTGGCTTTTCCCATTAGCCCCCTGCACTTTTCTTACTTACCATGCATGACAGTTTGTAAGTTACATATTTATTTCTTTGCTTATTAAACTCAACCTCTGTGAGGGCAAGAACTGGGTCTGTTTTGTCATTTGTAAAACTTGTGGAATGATTGAATGAACAGACATATTATTTTGCCTTCAACAATAAAGGTATTTAAAATACTTTTAAAACAAAGCACAATGATATTTGTATACAAAAGAATTCTTCGCTTTGTGAAATAGTTCGTACTGCCTTTTAAAATGGGGTGAATTTGGGGGGGGAGGTTGTATCACTATTACACATACCAGGGGTGCATTTCGTTTAGGGTTGGGGACAAAGCCTGGAATTCACACTTCTACCCGAGAGGTCTGAGTCCTAGTCCTGCAGACTTGTGTCTCAGGGACTCATCTGCTCATCTGTAAACGAGGATATTGGGCGCACTAATCTCTGGCAAAAGTTCTTTCCAGCTGAAAGTTCCTGTGGTTCTGTGAGATCCGGGGTGGATGCTTATGTTTGGAGTCAGCGACTTATCATTTGTTCAGAAAACAATTTAAAACAGATACATTCTATTCAGTAGCTCTCTATGCCTTGGCCAACCGGAATACAAAATACATATGAATTATGTGTCATACATGATGAGGTGCCAAGAGGAGCAGTAGGGATTACCTTGATTATGGTTCTGTAACATAATACAACAAAATAACTTGACTAATTATGAGTCCACAAGAAAACATTTCTGAAAAAATATTTTGTGGGTGGGTGCTGGAAATCGTCACTAACACCAATTAGTGTTAAAGCCAAAGAACAACAATGATTAATTCATTTATAGAAGGTCAGTCAGTTATTATTTTAGCTTTTGAATTGAGAAAATACTCATATTTTTTATATAGTATTTCTGGACTTATAAAATTATATTATTTTCAAGGACATCTCCCCAAAGAAGATAATATCCTTTGTACAATATCCAAATCTATTCTGCCTGGAAGACTTGGTCTTTGTAGGAACCTAGGTATTGACTCCCTCCCCACTTCAGCCTTTTTGTCCACACCATCATCTTTAAAGATGCAACTGCCTATTTTCCAGAAATGCAGTATTACAACTCAAGTCATTACTGTACGGGGAAGGGTGGGCTCAGTCCTGCTTTCAGGATAGGCTCATGGTTGGGGAATTTCCTGGCCTGAGGAAAAGGACGCCACTGAGATATAAGATGAATTTTTGAAGGAACCTAAATATAATCCTGCTCACAATGATGTGGAATGAAATTTTAGGCAGGTTCTTTCCATTTTGCCATCTAAGGGAGTTTGGATGCTGAAGTGCCCCAAAAGAGGTTGTGTTGTTAAGGGGAGGACGTGAGACCACCATAACCAAGAAACCCAGCGGTACAGTGGCGCAAAGAGGGGCTTTTATTTCTCTCTCACATAACAGTCCTCAGGTGGCGATTCATCTAGGGCAGCAGGATGCTCTGCTCCCTAAGGTCAGCCTGGCCCAGCTCTGTCTCGTTGTTCTGCCATCTCCCAAGTGTGGTCCTTGTCCACACAGTAGAAGCTGGCTCACCTCCAGCCCACTGGACGGGGGAAAGAGAGTGCAGGACGAGCAGTTTTCTTTCTAAAGACGTAGCCCCAAAGTTGCATCTACCACTTGGCTCGCATCCCACAGGTGAGAACTGAGTCACAATCCACACCGAGCTGCAGAGAAGGCAGGGAAATGTGGCCTCTAGCTGGGTGGCCATGTGCCCAGCAGAACTGAGGAGTTTCTTTTACCAGAAGAAATAAGGAAATAAGGGATGTGGGGGGAAGTTAGACTCTGCCATGACGGTCTTGTGGAAATTCAAAGGATAAGGGTACAGAAGGCACACATTGCCAAAGACGCCTTACTGTTTTTCTTTTTCATCTTAATTAAAATTGTGTGTGCGTGTGTGTATTCACACTGGTAAGAAGGAATGGAGCCATGAGTTATGTTTCCCAATTTGTGTAGGAGATATCTTTTGACAGTTGTATCAAATTTCCAATGGCTGAAATATTTCATTTCCTCTAGGAAGACAGAGGAGAGGTCAGTGTGACCCTTCCCTCAGTATATCAGTGTTTTTACTTACCACGTTGAAGCCAGCTGCACCGCTCCTGAGCCACTCTTTTGCCCTCTGGGCAGGGTTGAATTTGCCATGAAGCTAGTGAAGCTTAAACTTCAGGTCCCCTCACTTGCAGAGGCCCCCTCCTAGTCGCCAGAAGGGCCCAGCATTGTGTTCACTTTTGTATTTTTCTTAAAGAGAGCTCCCCAAACTCTTAAGTTTCCCGCTCTACAAAATCGGACCTGGGCAGCCTCTTCCAATGCCTCCATCCCCCACTGAGCCCCACCACGGTTCCCACTTTTTCCCAGGTGGGAAGAGGCTCCTAGTAGTCCCAACTGCCTCATCAGCAGAGTTTCTTGGAAGGAACCACCCTAAAGGGAAGTACACCAAAAGAGAGAGCACCCTAAAGAGAGAGGCACTAAAATAGATTCTCTTGCATCTCATGAAGTGCACCTTTTATGTCCTGGCCCAATTTTGTGTGTCTTTGAGGACTCACGTGTATCAGTAGGACTCCTGGGGAGAACTCCTTTTTTATGGTACCTTGGCTCTCCAGGCAAATGCCTCCTTGTAATGAGGGTGTCACACTTTGGTCACCAGACAGTCTCTGAGATTAGACCCACAAGCTGCCCCCTGGGCCTTCCTCCGCTTTCCACCCACATGTCATCCAAGCTGGGGCTGCTTGTATTAATCTCTGGCAGGTCTGAGTTCTCCGTGTAAGGGCCTCTTTGGTTAGAACTTCCTCGTAACTGCTGGAGGAAGAGAATCTTCTGTGGGTTCCACTTTCAGATTCGAAAATTAATCTTTAGTTAGTCTAAAGCATTGTTCCTGGAGTGGAGCTTGACTGTAAATGGGGAAGAAGAGGGAGAGAGATGGACGCAGATACGCATACACACATAATTTTGCATATAATTTCAAGGAGATCACGGTCTTCTGAAACCCTTCCTTGCTAAGCCTAGATCAAGAGCCCTGTTCTAGAGGTTGAAAATGTAGCCAACTTAACCTGTTTAAGGAAAAAAAAACAGTAATAATACCTTCCTCATGAGACTGTGGGGCAAGGGGGTGGGGATTAGATGAGCTAATTCACATAAAGCGTTTAGCATAGTGTCTGATGCATAGTAAGCAGTTATAATTGCTCCCTTCTCTGCTGGGGTTTGGATGATCTTGCCGGTTTTCATGAGTTCCTTAGATAAAAACAAGACTAGCTTTTGGCTGCTACTGTTTTCCCCAGCCTGTCGATTTGCCTTTTCATTTGAAGGCAAACATGTAGAAGCTTTATGCTTTTCATGTAGCCAAATCAGCGATCTTTATTTTGTGTGTGATTTAATTAATTACTTTGAAGTTTGGACAGTCATCTCTCCGACAGAGGTTTGACAGATTCTGTTGCTTCTAGATTGTTTTCTCCCCGTGGTTTGATTTTTATTATTTAGCCATCTAATCCATCTGGAATTTATCTTGGTCTATGCTCTGAGGTAAGGGTTTAACTTGATCTTTTTTCCCATTGCCAACCAATTATTCTCCAATCATTTATTAAATAGTCTTCCCTTCCCCACTGTATTGTAACATCTTCTTTATCATATAATAAATTCCTCTGTCTTGTAGGGTCTTTTTCTGGGCTTTCTGTTCTGTTTCACAGAACAAAGATATGCCTATTTTTACATAAATGTATCTTAATATTTTGTAGACCTAATTCCCTTCTTGACTCTGCTTTTTTCTTTTTTAAGAATCTAAAATCTGCTCACCAGTTTATTTTTCCAGACAAACTTTTGAAAAATAGTGACACATCCTAAGAAAAATCCCCTAAGAATTTTCATTGAAATCACATTAGAACTGTAAATTATTGGGTAGTATTGCCATCTTTACAACATTTAGTTTTACCAACTTGGCACATTATGTCTT